GTGGAGATAAATTGTGCTAAGTAAGCACCTTTGCCCCCTTCCCCCCGTGATTGGCTTATTCACCATTTGTCCCACAAAGTGAGACAATGTTCTATTGGTTAAAAAATTATATTCATATACTCTTTCCCGTGAAATTAGCCCCAGATAAGCAGAACTTCATATATATTTACCATTGATTTCTACAGTATTAGAAAAAAAATCTCTGAAGTCACTAGAAATGTGGATGTGCATATTCCTAAACAGCCCTATCTGGTTTTTGATAGGCACTTATATAACATTTAATATGTGTCAGGTGTATGCTTGCACTTTTCACTGAAATAGGATATTTATCACTGCCTTTATTTTATATATGAGGAAACTGAGGTATAAATAGGGAACTTTGGTAAATTTTGGTTGCCTTACTGCTAGCCTCAGATATTTTCTAAATAACTGCCTCATTCCTTTTATTATTAATTTTATCTTATAGTGACAGCTCATGTTCATTTAAAAATTCTTTTAAAAGAAAAGCCTGAACAAGGAAGTTTAAGAGTCTGAGTTTTATGTATTTCCTAGTTTTGAAGTAGTCAAAGAGCCCAGTAAACCAGTGTTTGCCAAATTAAATTGAAAGAAGATTCAATCTCATCTTCAACTCTCACCTCTTAAAGCAATGCATATGTGTTGTAGTTAAGATAAATTGCATGAACTGAAATTACAGTTCTTTTGAAAAGCAGAGGTTAAGACTAGGATTCATAAGGTCCAGGTCTGGGTCCTAGGTCTGCCTTCTCCCCCTTCTTTGTGTAACTTTTAGGAAATCACTCTACCTTTCTGAGTCTTAATTTTCTTATCTGTGAAATGGGAGTGATACATAACCATCTCAGATAGTTCTTGTAAAGTGAAATGTGATCATGTAAGGTTAACATCTACTGCACAACTGGCATATCAAACATACATTAAAAATTTATGAAGTCAGAATCTCAGTAAACCCACCACAAAAGTTATTTAAAAAAAAAAACCTCTTAATAGACAAAGTTTTTGGAAAAATTCTGTACTGAAACATATTTTGATTGTTTTCTGCGTATGGTGCTGCATATTTGTAATCCCAGAATTTGAGAGGCTAACGCAGGAGGATCACTGTGGGTTCAAGGCCAGCCTGGGCTACATAGCGAGGCCCTGTCTCAAAACAAAACCAAACCCTCCCAAACTCCAAAGTGTATATTAACATGTATAATAATATATAAGGCTGAGGAGCGTAGGAAGGGGTGCATAGGGGAGAGTACTGATTTATCAATGAGTGCTAAATTATAGTTCAGACTAGGAAGACTTAGAATAGTATACTATATGAAGTGTGAGCTAAAATACAGTGAATGCTTAAATTAAAAATACTTATTACAGTAAAAGACTGGCATTAATCCTCAAAATTTTTAAATTTAAATATTTAGTATATATTTTGGTCATTTGTTATATATTTCTGAAAGCTAGAAGAAAGGATTTTGAATATTTTTACCATAAAGAAAGTGTGACTCTGAGGAGATACATGTATTTAAACTGACTTAATTGTTACACAGTGTATACATTTATTGAAACATCTATCATACCCCATAAATATGTGTAGTTTTGCTTTCATGTATCATTTAAAGTAAATTTATAAAAATGTATCACTGAAGATAAATGTTCACATTTATTTTACAGGTATTGGTTTGCCTTGAAAAGAGGTTACTATGTGGCTTTCAAACACAGTGGGAAAACTAATAATTTCATGGATGAAGAGATTGATCCACATAAAGAAGTTATAGATGGAGTGACTGATTTGAGCATGCTCAGACTCTTTGAGACTTACCTGGAAAGCTGCCCACAACTTATTATTCAGCTCTACCTCCTTCTGGAGCATGGTCAAGCAAATCTCAGTCAGTGTAAGTCTTCTTTTATATTCTTTATTAGATGAATGTGACTGAGATCATATGTCAATTTTATAACTCTCAGGTGGGCTTTAGAATTTTTTAAATGTAATTTTATATTTAAAATTTAAAAATTTTTATTAGCACATGTTTGCAGTCCATATGATTATATTCATTGTGGGGAATTTGTACATGTACATAACACGTCTCAGTTCTTAGGTTTTAGAATTTTTTTTAATCCTTTGAAGAAAGGATTATGTTTGGAAAAGGAAGCTCAGTAACATGGCAAGATATCAAATGTTCTTTCTGAAATCTATCACTCTATGTAATCAATATGCAGTAATAATAATAAAAATCTTCAGGCACAAAACAAAATATTTATTGTTTCCTGTTCTTTTCTTCCTTCCTTTCTTCCTTCCTCTGCCCATAAAAGAAGCTACAACTGTCAGTTATTTGATGATCCTTCCAGGAAAAATATTAAAAAGCATATACCCTTTTATCTTTAACACAAATAGTAACAAAGATAAAAATTTTACATTTAATGGTATATCTTGGAGAAGTAGCTATATCATTAGAGAAATAATTCCTTTATTCCTTTTAGTTTTTCTGAGGAATATTACAAATTATAGATATACTGTAGTTTATTTAACAAGTACTGTGTGTTAATTCAGGTTGTTTCTAGTATTTTACAATTTAATGCTGGAATGAATAATTTTGTGCATCTCTATGTTATAGTTCTGTTCCCATCCTTATAATTTTTTTCCTGAAACATGAGGTAAGTTAGTTAAAAATAGCAAGAAATGAGAAGTAATCCAGTTATTTAACAATAGAGGAACTGATAAATGTGTTATTGTAGACTGTTGTAGAATGAAACATTATGTAGCCATTAGAAAAAATGTTTACAAAGAAGTTTCAATGACATAGGAAAGTAATTAGAAATTTAGGCAAAAAGTAGTTAGTTTATAAAATTTTCTATCAGCATACTTTTAAGAATACAAAGAAATTATTATACTGGAAAATATTCCAAAGTGTAAAATGTAGCTGCTTTCTGGGTAGTGAGATTTTGAGTGTTTTTCATCTTTATTGCTGTTTTGGAATCCATATTTCCTTCAGTAAATATTGTACTATCTGATGATCATAAAACTTTATTCAGAGTGCAAAAATAAATCAGGTTATATATAGAAGCACTTCAGAAGGCTGAACATATTCTTTTATCCCAGCTCCTGAAATCACACTGAAAGGGGATAAAATCAAGGTCAATATGAATACATAAGAATAAAGAAATTGTAAACTTAGAAATATCCAGAATTGTTTATATGATGGAAAGGAGATGGAAAACAGTTTATTTGAATCAACCTTCCCATGGAAAGGCTAACTTCCCCTGAAAATATTTAGTGGTACTAGACAAAATATTTTTAAAAGTCTTCCTAACATGTAAAATATCTGTTATAACAGACCAAGATATGCATGAGAGTAAGGATGCTGCATATAGTTAAGTAAGACATCTATATTCTGAGAGCTTCTGCTGATTCTTACAAATATAATATATGATTATATATGATTACAAATATAATATATAATGTATGATTCTTAAAAAACTGAGTTTTGATAGTCTAGGAGACAGGAAACAGAACTGAAGGTCCTCATAAAGAGTGATGTCTCTCTCGTGGTAAGCTCTAGTATTAGTGTTTTACTAGAAAAACAGATACAACACAAGATATACAACTGTACAAGAAATTACAAGATTGGCTTGTGGTGGTCACCCGCTGTTGGATGAGGAAGTATACAGAGGGTGTCTGTATGCTGGAGACCGAATATTTCAGCACAGGGTCTGGAGTTCACTGCAGTGTCTCATGCAAGTCCTTATCAGGAGGCCAATGGGTCTGTGACAGAAGGCTGAAGAGTTTATGATAGAATGCTGAAGAGTCTGTGCTGAAAGGCTGAAGTACCTGAGGTGGAAGCCCAAGAATCTGTGCTAAAAGCCAAGAGATGATGTTCAAGCTGAAGGAGTGGAGCTCCTCCAAAGAATAGAAACAAGTCCATCCTTCCTCATTTTCCTTTTATACTGGCAGATGAGTTGCCCTTGGGTGTGTCCTCTATACCTTAGGGTATAGAATTGCTGAGCCAATTTAGTTAAGCTTCCTGAACTTTTCAAATTGATACAGTCAGTCAACTATTATAGCTCTGATCTATAACCCTGGGACTGCAAAAGCCCTCCTTCTTAGAATAAGAGTATGCCTTAGTTATTTTTTCTCATTGTTGAGGCAAAATACCTGATACCCAAAGTTAAAGGAGGAAAGGTTTATTTCAGCTCACAGTTTGTAGAGGTTTCAGTCCATTGTCTGCTGGCTGCAATGTAGGGTAGCAGGCAAAGGGGCATGACAAAGGAGAAACAGTTCATGGTATGACAGGCAGGAAGCAACAAGTAACAAGCAGCAAGAGCAGCAGCAGCAACCTGCCTCTCCCTTTTATCCCTTTTAAGCTACCCACTTTTCAGTGGTGCTACCCACACCTAGGTTGGGCCTTCTCAGTATCCATACCCAGAACTATGGTAAACCAATCAGTGGATTAGTATTAGTAATCTCATACCCTTAATCCCAGCATCACACACCCTAGATCCAACCACCTCTGAAATGCTCCATCTGCAACTGCATGATGCTTTGGGTGGGTGGGAGAAGCCTAGATACAAGCCATAACATAGTATATTTACTTAGCCAGTTTTTACTTTCAAGAGACTGCAGGAATATTACCTTGAGGCTTGATAGAGTAGGGAAAAATGTCCTTGAGAAATTTTAACAGTAAGATTTGCAACTAAAATTCATTTCTGTTGGGTAATTTTTTTAGAGAAACGATCAAAGAATAAAATAGGAACATATAAATGAAGGATGTGGGTTATTATATTGAAAGAATCAAAATGTTTCACACCAAATATATCATTATATCATTTCAGAAAAGCAAAGAAAAATAAAATTCTAGATTTGGTACAAAAAAAGATAATTTTCTAAAGTTAGAGAAAATGAATGGCATTGATACTCTTAATCATAATAACTGAAAGCAGAACAGAATAGAGCAATGACTTCAAAATTCCAATGAAAAATAATTTTTAACTTTAAATTTTTAGTTTTGGTCTGTTTTTAGAAAAACTATAAACTATGAGAGTAGAATAAATATTTTTGATATATATGTGATCTCAAAATTTCTAACTTTTGTGCACCTTTGTCAAGTGTAGGAAACCAGCCTATGAGTTTGTCCCTAAAAGAGGGGGAAGGGTCACATGAGAATGAAAGAAAAAAGGCACAGAGTTAGTTTAGAATGCAGGGGTCACGGAGCTCTTGCCTCTAGTGGACAGAGAGCCCTGAGTATTTGGCTCACCTGACTTATTCACTTAGACATGTAAGCAAGCAATTAGAGTAGGACAAGATTCATCTGCCTTTTGTGATTTATACTATATGGCCAGGTAAACAACAGGGATCTCAGCTGTGCTGACTTTTCCCTGAAACTTGCAGTGTGCCACCACGCTAGCTTATTATCTGGTCTCCCACATCTCCCCTTTTTTGTTTTTGTAATAGCAGCAGCTCAGTATCAGTCATGCTGTTCATCCTTAGGGGAAGTATGTAGGTGAAGTCATTCTCTCTTTTGTCTTGACCTCTGGCCATTAGTGACTGTACCTCCACCCACCTGTACTGACTCTTTTTGAGAGCCCAACCCTGTCTGCCTCCCTGTACCAACCTAGCTGTCCCCCCTCTGAGGAAGTACGTGTAACTGCTTTGAGAAGACAAGGGCCAAGATCGTTCTGTCTACTTCTGGTTGAAGAGGCTCAGAGTTGTTGATTGGCAGTCAGAAATACTCCCCAGAGGGCCTATCTTAAGACCCTCCATAGATGCCAGGGGATCTTGTCTGAGGTAGGTGTGTAGCTTTGAGTATGCTATTAATCATAGCAGTGAGGAGCTTTTCAGGCAGTCAGGGCAGGCCTCAATGATGGTCAAGTCTTTCTTCCTCCTGGGTAGTTTTCTTCAGTTCTCATTTTGTGGAAGACATTTACTGGGGAGGAGTGGCATTGATTTCCTTCGTGGGTGCACCACAGGGAGAACTTCTCCATGGTCACAGGCTCCTAGAGGGCACCCACACTGTCTGTCCATTTCCTGCAGTGGCGTATGTAAACCCGATCCCTCCCATTTCCCCACTTCTGGGTACTGCCATAGCACTGTGTTTTCTCCTTTTTCCCATGATTGTGTCGAAGTTAGTGGCAGGAACAGAAAAAAAAAATGAGTTCTGTCCTGTGGACTTAAGGAGATGGTAAAAAAGCAGTCCTTAAGATCAGTAATTATCATAGACCAGTTCTGCGGAACTGCAGTGGGAGAGGTAGGTCCAGGCTGCAGAGCACCCGTGGAGTAAATACATGCCTAATTGCTCTTAAATCCTGAAGCAGCCTCCATTTTCCTGAGTTCTCTGGTATAACAAAACAGGAGTATTCCAAGAGCTGGTGGAAGGCTCTCGCTTTCAGTTGCTCTATTAATGCCTATAAGTGAATGAGTTTCTCCTTTTGTAGGGGACACTGAGATAGACTTCTGTGGGTTTAGGGTTGCCTTGTTAATTTTTTTATGTCCTTGTCCTGGAACATATCCTGTGTTTTGTATCTTTCTATCAACAGTTGAGATTGCCTTATTAGTAATTTGAATCTGCCATTTTTTTCAGCAGATCCCTGCCCCACAAATAGACTGGGATTCCAGCAAATAAACAACTGAAAGACTCCCTTAAAGTTTTCAGGACCTACATAGGGCAGAGGTGCAGCACGCTGCATGACCTGTCTGGTTGACACAAGCTTCTCCGGGGAGGTGGCTGCTGCCTAAGTGGGCCGGGCAGGTGGCCATGGAGACAAAGCCATCACCGAAACATCAGCACTTGTGTCTCTGAGCCCCCGAAAACATTTTCCGTTAATCTTAAGAGTATACGTGGGCCAGTGGTCTGTGACATCTTGAGTGAAGAACACCTCCTTATGGGGTGTGCTAGTAAATCATTTAGCTTCTTGGCTAATAGCTATGATTCTAATTGCCAATAAAACAATTAGTTGAACAATATAATCTCCAGGTTCAAAGACCTAAGCATCATGTGACTGAACCACAACCTGAATTTTCCCCAAATAGTCTCTTATGGTTTGTGTCTAGGTGTCCCCCCAAAGCCTTGTGCACTTTTAGGTGGGACTGTTTTGGAGGTAGCTGAATCTAGAGTTTGTGGTTGATTCATGGTTCAATGCTAGGATTAAGGGTGATGGGATTAAGGATCGTGATTGATGGATCAGTCCACTGATTGGATTCGCACTGCCCTAATCTCAGCAACTTTGATAACATAAAAGGGGCAGAAAGAGGCTTGTTTCCCCCTTTTGCTCTTGTTGCTTTTGCTGTCTTCCACTGCCATGAACTGTTATCCCTCTGCCATGTGCTACCCTGCCTTGGACCAGCTGATTATGGACTGAAACCTCTGTAAACTGTGAGCTAAATAAACTTTTCTGCTTTAACTTTGGGTGTAGGGTACTTTGTCTGAGACAAGTAACTAAGATATAGTCTAAATCAATAATTCCAGGGAGTACTTCAACACCCTGTAGATTTAATCTACTTTTTCCTAGGACTAGACTAATAGTATGTAAGGGAAGAGGTCCCCAGATGCCTGTGGGGATTTTAACAGGTTTATCTCTACCAGTTAAAGTCACCTGTTCAGCAGCAAGATGGTCTAACCTGCCACTTCCTGGGGTTCCAGTGATAAAGGACTCAACCGTCCTCTGGAGACTCACTGAGGACTGGGTCTGTGAGCCTGTACTGGGAATGCTCCTGTTGTTTGTTGGGCCTGGGGCCAGGCCTGGCTCCCATTTCCCGTTAGTGGGAAGCCATTTCAGTAATACTTAGAGTGACATGGTTTAGCCCAGTGATTTCTTTTCGACATCTAGATGAGGGCTTGGTGCTTTCCTCTGAAGGAGAGGGACAGTTGCACCCTTTCTTGCCTGGGATTGAGTGCAGTGTTTACAAATGTGCCCTTTTTTTCCCACAATGAAAACATTTATTTTTGAAGTCTGATTTTGTTTCATTAAGCCAAACATAGCGTGAGCAAACATAGAGGACTTATGACCTTTGGTACCCACATTGTGTCATATTTTCTAATAGTTTGCAAGAGTTTTAGTTGCTCAGACAGCCCCTATTGCTTATTTACAGTCTTTATTAGCATTCTCAAAAGCTAGCTGCCACACAATCGCTGCTGTTTGGGCATATAGTATCTGTTGTTGGACAGCTTCTTATAAGCAAGCTAAGAACTGGGCATAAGGCTCCTGCAAGTCCAGAAGAGTGTGTAAAAAGGACTGAGTAGGAATACCTTCCTCAGGAATAATTACCCAGGATTGCTTCATCATGAGAGCTATTTGCTAATAAGCCTGGTCCTGAAGGGTTAACTGTGGGATCAGATCTGAGTACGGACCTGTTCTAACAGCATGTCCTCAGTGATCTCAGAATGTCCTGCCATTCAGTTCTGTCATGCTTGTTCGGCTGCTAACTCGTGAAGATTAACATGGAAATTTAAACATTACCCTGCAGAAAGGCAGTACCTAGCCAAGTGCTTAATGTCTAAAGGAGGTAAGCACAAAGCTCCTTGGACAGACTCCAATAAGCCCAGTGTGCAAGGTCCTTGAACCCCATGGTGCACGACACTGGATTTTTATTCTTTAAGCAGTTTGTACTCCACAGGATTATGCTCATGCACATTTTGTTGTGTATTGTTAGGGTCGGGATGAATATTAATTAGAAATGCACAGGTCCCAAGGGGCTCTCCATTAAGCACAACTTGTCTAACTGATCTTCGATAAGGAGATACTAGTTCTGTATTGACCGCAGATAGGAGGGAAGGAGGAAGAGAAGGGGACCAGGGCTCTTCACCCTCATTTTGTCTTCTCTACAGGGTACACTAGGTGTGGGATGCTCTCCTACAGTTAAAGAACAAAGAACCATGTGGACTAAGCTCCACGTGAATGAAGTTTCAGGCTATATAAGAGAGCTCTGGCCACAAGTATACTCCAAACCTTCTCTCACCTTGATCCCAGCTTTCTGCATTAAACATACCTGTCTGAGGAAACCAAGGATTATGTCTAATGACATCTTGTAACGTATGAGAAAGCAACTGGGTACTAAGTTGAGCACTAGACTGGCACAACAGAATTATCAGTGAAGGGGTATAATGCTGTACTTCAGTTAACGAATACTGCTCCATTGCCCTTGGTGAGAAAGTTGTCCAGGTGCACTCATCTTATTTTCTTTTGCCCATTACCTTGGCTGAGGAAATTCTCTGTGTTCTTTTTCTTTTTTTTTCCCCCTTTTTTTTTGCTGACCTGCTCAGCACCATTCCACTGTGGAACTTCCTGTCATCAACTACATCTTTCACCTGGGCAGAGTTTCCCAGGTCAGGTCCCTATTCGGGTGCCACTTGCAGGAAATTAGACTACAGGTTTGTCCCTGACTGGTGCAGGGTGAACGGGGATGAAAGAGAAAAAGACACAGAGTTAGTTTAGAATGCAGGGGCCAGGGGGTTCTTGCCTCTGGTGGACAGAGAGCCTTGAGTGGTTCACCTTGCATTTATTCACTTAGACATGTGAGCAAGCAATTAGAGTAACACAAGATTCACCTGCCTGCTATTATTATTATTATTATTATTTTTTGGTTTTTCTCTGGTACCAGGAACCGAACTCATGACCTTGCGCTTGCCAGGCATGCGCTTTGCCGCTGAGCTAAATCTCCAGCCCCCCTGCCTGCTATTATCTATAGCATATGACTAGGTAAACAACTGGATCTCAGCTGTGTTCACTTTTCCCTGAAACTTGCAGTGTGCCAGCATGCTAGCTCATTATCTGGTTTCTTGCACTCAGCAAGTTCTGGAGAATGCTTACTCCAGGAGAACAAAGCAAAAACAAACAAACAAACAAAAAAACCCAAACAAACAAACAAAAAACCTGGGAAACAGGAGACAACACAGAAGAAAGGTGAAGGGAAGTTCTGGGGGAGAGAAGAAGCAAGCCTTGAGAGCAACTAGCTTAGAGTAAGAGGATCCTGAAATGTGTGAGGTGGTAGGGAATAAATAGATGCGTATATAAACAATTGCAAGAATTTGCTAAGAAACAGTGATAGGGTCATGAAGAACTAAGCAAGTAAGGAAACAAGGCAATTGCTAACTACAGGGAAAATTAAATGTTTTAAAAGAAAGCATATGGAGTGATTGAACAGTAAAGAAAACCAAACCAAAGCAAACCTCCTGTACTTATGTAGTCATAATAAAATAAATACTGAATATTTATTTTACCAAGTTTTGTGGTGTTACTTTTTTGGGCAGTTGGAGAGAGAGGAAAATGGAAACTGTGTGTATATGTGCTAACATTTCCTCTTTCCAATAGGAAACCAATAAAAAATGTCTAAGACAGGTAAATATAATATGTGTTTTACATAGAAATATGACAGAATGTGTCAAAGGAAGATCTAGAACAGTTGATAGTGATTTCTTTTGGATGTTGCACCTGTATGGTAAGGGGGGTAAAATAAGGTTTCTTGTAAGAAACTTACAGAATTTTTTGACTTTTTAAAACTGTATGTGTTAATTTCGTAGAAATTAAAACCATTGTAAAAATATATCATAGGGCAATTTAGGGGAAAGTGATATTTTAGTTAAAACAAGAAAAGAAAATAGGGAAACTAGTGAGTCTGTAGTGTCATATGCCCAAACTGAGAGAGCATGCAAAGGTCCTGTCCTGATTTTTCTATCAGTAGATAAGTTATTGTATGCTTTGCCTTTCTATCATACCGTATACAACTCCAGTAAGACCTAATGAAAATAACTACCACTCTGTATTCTTCTGTGTTTTATTCTAATTCTCCTTTATCTTGGCTTTCACTTTTTTAGAAGTCCTGTGCTTTGATAGTGGGGCTAATAATGACTTGCATTTTTAATGTAGTAATGAAATTATTCTTCTGTTATTTGTTGGGGGAAAATGGGGCAAAGAAGTCAAATCTATAGAAATTTGTATGTTTTAAGGCATATTTATTCATTTGATTCTTGACCTTAGGATGTAAAAAATTGAGTTTATTAATATAGTGCTTTATACTTATATTACATTTTATTTAAATATCACCTCACTCCCTGAAATTTTCTCTTTGTGAATTAGGGATAAGGCTGAGGTCAAAGCCAAAAAGTCTAGAAACCTAGGATGATCACTGTATTCTCTTAATAACCAGACTATGCAATTTCCAGTATACTAGTTGCTCAATAAAATTTGTCCAGTGAATTAATTTAAAATCAGTTTAAGGCAATATACATGTGGTGGACTAGTACATCAACTGGAATCAGGCCTTTTTAGGTTCAAATCTTAGTTCTACAACTTTCTAGCTGTATGACTTGGGTCAAGTAATAAATTTCTTTAAACCTCAGTTCCCTCGTGTGTAATATGAGAATATTACTATCTGTCTTCACAGATTAGATGAGATGAATAAAGTGCCTGATGTGTGTATGTGAGTGTGTGTGTATTTACAGATAAAGTATATATAGCATAAAGTACTTTAATATTATAATTACTATTCCTATAACAATATCTTTTTATTTTTTGTTTTACAGATGCAGCCATCATGGTTTCCTGCTCTGCTGTATCTTGGTCAACTGTTAATTTTCAAATATCTTTAAGAAAATCCTTGCCTGATAAAAATCTTCTAAAGGGATTCTGTCCTATAGCCACATATCTCTTTTACAAGTTGTGTACGTTGTTATCTTGGATGCTGAGTATTGTATTTCTGTTGTTCATTAATGTCAAGATAGCTTTATTTCTGTTGTTCCTTCTCTGGTTGGCAGGCTTAGTATGGGCGTTTAAAAGGCAAACCCAGTTTTGTAATTCCAAAAGTATGGAATTCTTATATAGGATTGTTGTTGGAGTCATTCTTATTTTTACATTTTTTAATATTAAGGGACAGAATACCAAATGTCCAATGTTTTGTTACTATATTGTGAGGGCACTGGTCACATTGGGAATATTGATTGTGTTTTGGCTTTGCCCACTGTCTATTTTTAATTTATACTACCTTATAGCTATCAGCATCACTGTAGTTCTTTCTTTTCTCCTTGGAATTATTTTTCTTACTGTTTATTATGGGATTTTTCACCCAAACAGAGGTAAAGAAACAGAATGTGATGAAATTGATGGAAAATCCGTTCAAAATGACTGTAGAATGAGGTATTTCCTAATGGAATAAGCTATTTATGAGATATGTTTTCTTATTTTTGTTTCAATGGTTAGTAAAGAAAATGTATGTTTTATGTGTGTGTCCTCTGTTATTTTTGCCACCTTTAATTTGAAGTTTATTTTGGTACTTTAATTCTGAACATGAGAGAGCATAATGATATTTTATTATTTAAATTAACTTTATTTTGTTATATTCCTAGTCCTGTCATGTGGTTTTGAAGATTTTTGCTTCCTGTCTTGAGCCTGAAATGGACTTTTTCATCTTGCTAAAAAGAAAGGAAACATATTAACAGACACATAGTAGACATTTACAAAATAACACAAACACAATACAAGCAATACATATTTTCAGACAAGGTGATAGGAAATTAACAATGGTGGCTGTATTACATATTGATATATTCAGATTGGTTACTCAGATAAATATAGGCATGTAAGATTGATCAAACAATTAAGCATGAACTGCTCCTTTCAGTAAATTCCCTTCCTCTTGAAATTGCAGTTCTCCCATAAAGTCTGGCATTGAGATTCCTTCCAGCTTTTCCTTTACTGTTCCTAAAACTCCTGTACCACTTGCGGAGAACTGCGAAGGTCAGAGTACCTCATTCTCCTTTTCTTTATTGTCTTTATTCTTCATGAATTTTGAGGGGAGCAAATTGAGTAGAGGGCAAGGGAGCAGAAGGACAGAAGAAGAAAACGGATTCTTAGTGAGTACCTGCTATGCTCCTTTCCATGAATTCCCCAATTCAGTAAATACAGAAGAGAATTGGCATACATTTGAGAGGACTTAAAATTGCCTTATTTACTTACTGTATTGCTTTTCTGAAATAAAATTCATCAAAATTTTGTACTTGATATAATTTTCATGAATTCTATTTATGCTAAAATAGTTTTAACCAAATTACATTGTATTTGCATTTTTAAAATGTAAAAACATGTAACATAGAATATGCTATCTTAACCATTTTTAAATACAATTCAGTAGCATTAACTATGTTTACCTTGTGTAACAAATGTCTAGCACTTTTCATCTCACAAAACTTAGACTCTATCACCATTGAACAATTGTTTTCCCTTCTGCTGGCAACTGCAATTTTACTCTATGAGCTTGACTACTTTTGCTATATGAGTTGAATTTTATATTGTTTGTCTTTGTGATAGACTTATCTAGGATAGTGTCCTCAAGTTTTATACATGCTGTAGTTGTGGTAAACATATAATATGTATATTACTGTAGATTTTTTTTAAAAGACAAAAGATGGTAATGTCTGAGTTGCTTTTCCTAAACTAAAACCTCAGTATTAAGTACTCCATTGTATGTAAATACCACATTTTCTTTATCCATTCATCTTTTGATAATCATATGGGCCGTTTCCAAGATTTAGCAATTATAAATTGTGTGGCTATAAACATGGGTATGCATATATGACTGTGGTATGATGTTTTTAACTCTTTTGGAAGATACCTAGAAAGAGAACAACTGGGTTTAGATTTAATTTTTTGAGGAATCTCTAGTTTCAGTTTTTTGAAGATACTCATACTCCATACTCCATACTGATTTCTATAGTGGTTGTACCAGTTTATACTCCCTACAGCAATGGAGAAGGGTTCCTTTTTCCCCACAGCTCCACCAGCATTTATTATTGGTTGATTTCTTGATGATAGCCATTCTTTCTGGAGTGAGGTGTAACCTCAGTGTTGTTTTAACTTGCATTTCTCAAATGACCAACGATGTTGAACATGCTTTTCATATATTTATTTGCTTTTTGTATTTCTTTGTCTAAGCAACAGATTTCTTCATCTGTTCATTTCAGATGACCATTTGGATTGGCTCTTTAAATTTGAAGGGTCTGATTTTTTTTTTGTTCTTTATATATTCTAGATGTTTTCCTCTGAGGATTAGCTGGTAAACGTTTTTTCATATACTGTGAGTTGTCTCTTCACTTTGTTCGTGGTTTTTTTTTTGCCATGAAAAAGCTTTTTCATTTGATGTGATCCCAGTTGTTGAGTCTTTTTAATATTTCCTGTGTGATTGGGGTTTTGTTTATAAAGTCTTTGCCTAGTCCTATATCTTCTAGAGTTTTGCTTATTCTGACTTCCAGCTGATTGTTTCTGTTTTAATATTTATTTATTTTAAAGAGAGTAGTAAAGAAAGAAAGAAAAAGAACATCTCAAACATAAAGCAAGAACATTAAAAGTGATACAGGCTTTCAAAACAAAACGATAGGAATTAGGAATTAACAGTGTTTGCTATACTACATATTGTTATCTTCAACTACATTGCTCAGATTACCAGATGTAAGAATGGAAGTTTCTTCAAACCATTAAAGAGAATAAAAAATAATTATTAGATAAAACGAGATATACAGAGTTTCACTAGGCAAGATGGTAGAAATTCACCAATGGTTGTTACATTGCATATTGTTGTCTTCAAATCAGTTGCTCAGATTACCAGATATAAGCATGCAAAATTGGTCAGAACATAAAAGATTTTAAGCATTAACACTTCCTTTCAATATACCATCGGACATCAGCAGTACAGTTATCCCAGCTCTGTCTCTCTGTATATATATATAGCCTTCTTTCTTTTTCCTTCTTTCTCTCATCCCAGTTGTTCCTTCCTTTGAGCAATTTCTTTTCCTATCATATCATCTACTGCACATTTTAAGTTTTACTTACTCTGTCAGGTTCCTACATCAGGGAGACAATATGATGTTTACACATGTGGGTCTGATTTATTTCACTTATGAATATGGTCTCTAGTTGCATTCATTTACCTACAAAAGTCTCAAGTTTATTTATAGCTGAGTCGTACTCCATTGTATAAAAATACCACATCTTTTTTTATCCATTCCTCAGTGGGGTTGTTTCGAAGATTTAGCTATAACAAATTGTGCTGCTGCAACCATGGGTGCACATATATTGCCGTGGTAAGTTTTAATATTTAGATTTTTGAACTATTTTGATTTTAGTGCATTGCGAGAGATATGGGTCTAGGTTCAATTCTTCGCATGTAGAAAGCCAGTTTTCTGAGCACCATTTATTAAAGAAGCTATCCTTCCAGTAGAGGTTAGCTAATCTCACCAAAGGAAGAAAACACTCAAGTTCATGCAATTAGGAAGGAAAAAGGCAAAATCACAACAGATACTGCAGAAATCCAGAAGATCATAAATATCTATTCTGAGAACCTGTACTCTAATAAGATGGAAAACTCAGAAGAAATGGATAGATTCCTAGATGCATATGAATTGCCAAAGCTAAATCAAGAAGATATAAAAATTCTAAATAACTCAGTGTCAGTCAATGAAATTGAAAAAGTAATTTAAAAACTACCAACAAAGAAAATCCCGGGTCCTGATGGACTCACTGCTAAATTCTAAAATAACTTTAGAAAAGATCTAGTAACACTACTTCTCAAACGCTAATGAAACTGAAAAGGAAGCAGTATGCTCAAATTCATTCCTGGAAGCAAGCATTACCCTGATACCCAAACCAGAGAAAGACCCAACCAACAAACAGAACTAGAGGCCCATCTCTAATGAACATAGATGCAAAAATCCTCAATAAGATACTGGCAAACAGACTTCAGTAAATCATCAAGAAGATTATACACCACGACCAAGTAGGATTCATCCCAGGATCCAGGGGTGGCTCAATGTATGTGAATCGATAAATGTAATACACCACATCAACAAAACCAAGGACAAAAACCATATGATTATCTCAATAGGTGCATAAAAAGCATTTGACAAAGTTCAATACCCATTCATGGTAAAAACCCTGCAGAGAATTGGAGTAGAAGGTCTTTATCTCAATCTGATAAAACCCATTTATGACAAACCAACAGCCAATATCATATTAAATGGTCAGTAACAAAGCTTTCACTCTAAAATCAGGAACAAAACAAGGAGGTCCACTATCACTACTCCTGTTTAATATACTTCTGGAAACATTAGCCAGAGCAATTAGACAAGAGAAAGAAAGAAAAGAAATAAGGATAGGAAAAGAAGAAGTTATATTATCATTATTTGTGGATGACATGATACTCTACATTGAAAACCCCAAAAACTCTACCAAAGGACTTCTAGAATTAATAAGCAAAATTTTCAGCAAAGCAGGATACAAAGTCAATACTTAAAAATGAATAGTATTTCTGTGCCTGAATAGCAAACTCACTGAGAGAGAAATTAGGGAAACAACACCTTTCACATCATGAAAAATGAAATACTTAGGAATCAATCTAAGAAAGGAAGTGAAAGATCTATACATTGAAAACTATAGTACTCTGAAGAAGGAGATCAAAGAAGATATCAGAAAATAGAAAGCTATCCTCTGTTCTTGGATAAGTGTAACCAGTATAGTAAAAATATAGTAAAAATGGCTATCCTTCTAAAAGTGTTATACAGATTTAATGCAACCCAATACCAATATACCAGTACCAAAATACCAATACCATACCTCACAGAACTAGAGAAAATAATCCTAAAATGCATGTGGAACCAGAATAATCCTAGAATAATTAAAGCAATTCTGAGAACAAAAACAAGGCAGGAGGCACCATAATCCCCTATTTGAAGTTATATTACAAAGCTACCATGATAAAAACACTATGATACTGGCAAAAAAGAAAACAAAAGAAAATAACAACAACAGCAGCAACAATAAAACACCCGAGGGTCAATGGAACAGAATGGAAGATGGAGAAAGAACTCCATCTTAAGTTTTCAGCATAGTTCTTGGTAAGAAGGAAATTTAGGTTCAAGAAGTAATAGAATGGATGGAATAGGCTGAATTCCTAAAAACAATCTTTTTCTATCAAACTGACTTTTCACTCTTCTCCTTGCACCAGCTTGTAATGAGTGAGTCCTCAAAAAATAATGTTGTCTATTATTAATAGAAAAAAGTAGTCTCCCATTTAGCCTTATAACAATATAAATCCAAAGGCCTTTTCTTTATGATCAACCGTGTTTGAATGCTCCAGACAGCCCCTGGCAGGGGACATGTCTTATCCTGAGAAGACACACCATGTCGGAAGGACATTCATGTGTCTTCAAGACAACAGGAAAAGACTCGG